TCTATCAGCCCATAAAGAAAGGCGGTGGTGATATCCATCTGAACTATCACCCACCCATTCACAGCTGCACCGGCAAGCAGAACACGCAGTGTTGGCGGCTTCGCAGTTGCAGCAAAGGTCTCTTTGTAGTCCTCCCTTTCTTTCTGTTGGTAACCCCTTGCAACCAGCCTACTCTTGTAAACTGATACTGCCCCTTTGTTGTCAGTTTTGATCTAGGGAATCCAGCCACAATTTATGGCTTTCTTCCCCAATGGCAGTGGCACCAGCTCCCACGTCCCATTCTCCATTTGACTGTTATATTCAGCATCTCGTGACACTAGCCACTTGTCCCTATATGGTCCGTTAAGGGCCTCCTCCATGGTCAGTGGCTGAGTCGGTGCAAATGCCATGAAACAGTATACCTCTTCCTGAGCTTCCTCATCAGAATCACAGCTGCTCTCCAGTACCAACAATGCATCAAGCTGCTGCTGCTCACCCCTTGTTCCTCCTTCACTCCTTGCCGTCGCCTTCAAGGCGGCAGCTCGCATCTGCCGCGTCATCATAGGTGAGAAGGCTCGTCCTGTGGGTTGGGGTTTGGTTTGGGTTCTCCTTGAGGGGAGAGTAGGGGGAATGACACGTGTTATGGGATGGGGTTCTTCAGGTTCAGCCATTGACTCCACACTCTTAACCACGGGGAGTTCTGCTGCACCCTCCTCATGTGCCGTTGCAATCTCCTCCCCAACCCACTGCTCCTCCACCTCAAATCCCATGGTTGCCTGCTGCAGTTGCTGCACAATCTGCTCCTTTGGTTGCTTAGACCAGCACCCGTAGGTGATGTCTTCCATGAACTTGACATCCCTACTGTCGAATACGACTCCCTTGCTCGGCTCCCATAGCAGCCACCCCTTGCTTTCTGCTGCCAAACCCAAATGCACACACCACACAGCCGTTGCACCCAACTTGTTGCGATGTGCTTTGGGGATATGTGCCACAGCCATGCAGCCAAACACACGCAGCATGTCAATGGGCGGCTTCCTCCCAAGCCACCTCTCCATGGGGACCCATGACTCACCACCGACGTTCGTGAACACCCTGTTCTTCACCACCGTGGCGTGGCGCACAGCATGTGGCCACTTGGAGTTCCCCAAACCTGACTCAATGAGAAGAGCCCTGTGCTGTCTCCAAGACCGTGCGGTTTGCTCGTTCTGCTACGCCGTTCGATTGCGGTGTGTAGGAGGTGGTGAGCTCCCGAATGATTCCCTGCTTCTTCAGCCATGCATTCAGCTCCTCCCCTAAGAACTCCCCACCCCTATCAGTCCTGATCCGCATCACCTTGTGATCAGATTGCTTCTCCACCAACGGCAGCCACTCATCTCGGATGATGGACGGCACTTGGTCCTTCTTCTTGATGGGGTATGCCCATGTCACTCGGCTCCAGTCGTCCACGATGGTGAGGAAGAACTTCTCACCACGCTCCCCCACCACTGGCAGCGGCCCCACCACGTCCATGTGCACTAACTCAAGCAGTTTCTTGCCGCCACCCTCGGTTGCATGGAATGGGAACCGAGTGAACTTGCTCAACAGGCAAGTTTCACACTTGTGGGTTGCTGCTGCACCTGTCAGCTTCAGCCCCTTAACCCCTTTATCCTTGTGCAGTTGCTGCAGTGCGGGCATAGCAATGTGCCCGAGGCGACGGTGGGCTGTCATCCAGTCCGTTTCACCTCCCCTTGCTGAAACCTTCAACTCCTCTGCAGCTACAGCGTTGCACTCCCCCTGGAAGCCATTCCCCTTATCCCAGGGCACCACCGGCAGCTGCCACATGGACTTGCATATGTCCTTATCCTCATGCAAGTCCCAAAGCATCCGTTTTCCTAGCTGCCCCTTGAACGTTTTGGCGCCCTCGGTACTTGTGCTCACCCCGCACTTGCCTAACTTCCTCAGGGAGATGAGGTTTGCCTTCAAATCAGGTACCAGCAGCACATCACTTAGCACCACCGGTTTGCCGTCAGCTCCCTTGAATGCAGCGCGCCCCGCCCCCGTCACCTTGAGCGCATGCCCGGAAGCCGACTTCACTTTAGCAATCGGTGCTGCCCCCACATTGTCCAGGAGGTCAGCCCTTGGCGTCATAGTCCATGCTGCTCCTGTGTCTAAGATCCACGTGTTGAGCGGGTGCAGCTCGGCTCCAGCATGGGCGATTACTGCGACCTCATCCGGCTCACCAACATGGAAGAACTGACCGGCTTCCCTCTCCTCTTGTTCAGCCGGCTCATCATCGGCAACCGCTCCGGCGCCGCTCCCATCTTGAGTCCTGTTGGAGGGGGTCCACCAGGTGGGTTTGGTCCTGCATTTAAACCACGGGTGACCCACTTTCTCACAGTACCAACACTTGCCTTCCATTCTCCCAGGTCCCCTTCCACCACCTCTGCCACCTCGGCCTCCACCACGTCCTGCTCCTCTACCGCCTTGCTGGTTAGAAGTCTCCTCATCCTTTGAAGCTCCTCTCCCAGTCCCTTGCCATTTCTTGCCTCTACCCCTCTTACCACCTTGCATTGCATAGCTGCTGCTTCCTTCCTCTCCTCCCCTCAACTGACGCCTCCGGAAGTCTTCCTCGAGTATCTTAGTCCGAATCTACTCCAGGGTCCAGAGGCTTTGGTTTTGGGGAAGGCTAAGGCCGCTGGTGAAGACCATCCAAGATTCCGGCAGCAGTGACAGCATCTTCACACATTTTGTTGACTCGGGGTAGGAAATGCCGGCAATAGCTAGCTTGGCGTAGAGGTCCCTAAGCTTATCTAGGACGGGTTGAACAGGTTCTCCTTCACTGAGGCGCAGGGTGGAGAGCTCTCTCTCTAACATGAGAGTGGCTACAACTGAGGTAGGTGCATGAAGATCCTTGAGCATGGTCCACGCCTTTGGTCCGCACTCATCCTCTGGAAGTAGGTGCATGATATGCTGGCGTTGAGCAAGATCTAAGCTCTGAGAAAGGATGTAATATCCAGCTGAAGAACGTTCGTCCCAATCGCCTTGAAGTTCCGGATTGCTAGGGCGTTTCTCACTACCGATCATGACTTTGAGAAGTCCTATCTGCCGAAAATATAACTGCATCTTCCAGGACCAGTCGTCGTACCCTTCACCACTGAATTTGTCGACGGAGAAGTTTTTCAGCACTTCCCTTAGTAGTGGGCCCTGGCTCGTCCGTGCTACCCTAGGCGCGGATACTCCAGATTCTTGGCTACCACTACTCGCGGGAGCTGAAGTCCCTTCTTCTCCAGGCGACCCCATCGTTGGATACGTTCAAAGCGACTAAGTACCAGCTCTGATACCACGTGTTAACTGCTATAACGTTATGCGGAAGCGATTAATGCTTGAGATACAAACTTTGCTTGGCAACACTTAACTTCACTTGCAGCCCTTCGAGTGTGACAGCTTGTCACCTCCTAGCCAAGGGCGTGAAAATAGCAAGTGAGTAGTTATGCCTTGCTCAGCTTGTAGGACGAGCAAACTGGTCGAGGAGAATTTCGGCAGCACCAAGGTAATCTTTCTACTCTCGTCAATACGAAGTAGTAGAATTGCGAGCTTGAAAAAACGCGAATGCATTGGATTAATTTCGACAGGTACAAGCACACATTTATATATTCTAGGCACAGGCAGGAGCAACTAGAAAACAGTTGTTTAACTGGCTCGCAGGATTTCGCCACGCTGTATCTTGAAAATAGTTGCACAACTCCTTGAGCATTTGGCTATATCCTCCTGTTGTTAAAAACTGTCTTCAAATTGCACTTGTAACAATCGCCCCTGCTGACTCAAATGTGTACATTTATGAGACTCGCATGTTGCTCCAATGTAGCTCAAATGTCTTCATGCGAGCTCACAGTTGTATAACGGTTTTTACCGTTTGAAAAACGGAGTAACCGATTTGCACCTGTGTCGAAATGATTCCGCAAAGCGAAATGACTTTCGCGAGAAATTTCCCGTCCCGTGAGTCAACTCGGAAAACAGTTTTTCAACTGTAAATTTCGAGCACCCCTCGTGCCACACGCACGACCGAGATTTTTTCTCGGTCGTGCTGTACAGCGTGCCATGATCGTAATCATGCGCGTGTACAGTGCGGGACAGGGCCGAAATGGGCCCTGTCTTGTTGCGATCGTGCTGTACAGCACGCTCGCAACAGTACGCGGCACACGCGCGTGCCCTGTGGTCCCACACGCGCGTGCCTTGACCCACGATCGGGTCTTGACTTTCGCGCTGTTGACCCGCGCGAAAAAGTCAAGGCACCCCCCTTGACCAGTCAAACAACCGAGCACCCCTCGGTACACCACCCGCTCACATGAGTCTTCAATAAGTCTCGCATGAAAATTCGAGACTCATGGGACTTTCATGGTCGCTCGCATGAGCCTCGCATGAAACATTGAAGTCCCATGCGTGCTACATTTGAGCTCCATAATATCTTCATTTGAGCCTCATTTGAGGGCTTCGCATGAGTCTCATTTGAGAGCTTCGCATGAGTCTCATTTGAGCGCGTCATGAGGGCCTCATTTGAGCGCTTCATGGGAGCTTCATGAGAACAGTGAAAACGAAACTGAAAATGCAAAAACACAAAATGCACTTATGAATAAAAACGAAACACACAAAACGCAAGGACAAATGCGCACAGAACGTTCACAAAATGAAAATGAAAAATGCGCACACACACAAATATGCAAAATGCGACGCAGGCGGCTGGTTGACATGCAAAAATAAATATTTGCACCCAACAGGAATTGCTCTGGTAGGTGTATCTGAGCATGGGCCACCCGAATATGCAACAACATTCAGGTCGTTCGATGCTTTTCCCTACGCCTATGAGGATTCATGCACTTCGTTACCATTTGTCGGCAGGCACAGCCGTCTCCGCAGGTGCCGAACTGTTCTGTGCGCACGAACCAAGTTGGAATTGCTCTGGTAGGTGTATTTGAGCATGGGCCACCCGAATATGCAAAAACATCCAGGTCGTTCGATGCTTTTCCCTACGCCTATGAGGATTCATGCACTTCGTTACCATTTGTCGGCAGGCACAGCCGTCATCGCAGGCGCCGAACTTTTTGGTGCGCACGAACCAAGCTGGAATTGCTCTGGTAGGTGTATTTGATTATGGGCCACACGAATATGCAACAACATTCAGGTCTTTCGATGCTTTTTCCTACGCCTATGAGGATTCATGCACTTCGTTACCATTTGTCGGCAGACACAGCCGTCATCGTAGGCGTTGAACTTTTTGCTGCGCACGAACCAAGCTAGAATTGCTCTGGTAGGTGTATTTGAGCATGGGCCACCCTAATCTGCAACAACATTCAGGTCGTTCGATGCTTTTCCCCACGCCTATGAGGATTCATGCACTTTGTTACCATTTGTCGGCAGACACAACTGTCATCGCAGGCGCCAAACTTTTTGGTGCGCACGAACCAAGCTGGAATTGCTCTGGTAGGTGTAATTGAGCATGGGCCACCCGAATAAGCAACAACATTCAGGTCGTTCGATGCTTTTCCCTACGCCTACAAGGATTCATGCACTTCGTTACCATTTGTCAGAGCCGTCATCGCAAGCTCCGAAATCCTCCCTCCTTCCATCACCCCGCCACATTCTCCCGCTTTCCATCACCCCGCCGCATTCTCCCTCCTTCCATCACCCCGCCCCATTCTCCCTCTTCCCATCACCCCACCCCATTCTCCCGCTTTCCATCACCCCGTTCCATTCTCCTGCTTTCCATCACCCTACCCCATTCTCCCGCTTTCCATCACCCCACCCCATTCCCCCTCTTTCCATCACCCCGCACCACTCTCCCGCTTTCCATCACCCCGCCCCATTCTCCCGCTTTCCATAACCCCGCCCATTTCTTCCGCTTCCCATCACCCCGCCCCATTCTCCCGCTTTCCATCACCCCACCCCATTCTCCCTCTTTCCATCACCCCGCCCCATTCTCTCGCTTTCCATCACCCCGCCCCATTCTCCCGCTTCCCATCACCCCGCCCCATTCTCCCTCTTCCCATCACCCCGCTCCATTCTCCCGCTTTCAATCACCCCGCCTTAACCTCCCTCCTTCCATCACCCCGCCCCATTCTCCCTCTTTCCATCACCCCGACCCGTTCTCCCACTTTCCATCACCCCGCCCCGTTCTCCCGATTCCCATCACCCCGCCCCGTTCTCCCGCTTTCCATCACCCCGCCCCGTTCTCCCGCTTTCCATCACCCCGCCTCATTCTCCCTCTTTCCATCACCCCGCCCCATTCTCCCGCTTCCCATCACCCCGCCCCATTCTCCCTCTTTCCATCACCCCGCCCCATTCTCCCGCTTTCCATCACCCCGCCCCATTCTCTCGCTTTCCATCACCCCGCCCCATTCTCCCGCTTTCCATCACCCCGCCCCATTCTCCCTCTTTCCATCACCCCGCCCCTTCTCCTGCTTTCCATCACCCCGCCCCATTCTCCCTCTTTCCATCACCCCGCCCCATTCTCCCTCTTTCCATCACCCCGCCCCATTCTCTCGCTTTCCATCACCCCGCCCCATTCTCCCGCTTTTCATCACCCCGCCCCATTCTCCCCCTTTCCATCAACCCGCCGCATTCTCCCGCTTTCCATCACCCCGCCCCATTCTCCCTCTTTCCATCACCCCGCCCCATCCTCCCGCTTTCCATCACCCCGCCCCATTCTCCCGCTTCCCATCACCCCGCCCCATTCTCCCTCTTTCCATCACCCCGCCCCATTCTCCCGCTTTCCATCACCCCGCCCCATTCTCCCGCTTTCCGTCACCCGCCCCATTCTCCCGCTTTCCATCACCCTGCCCCATTCTCCCGCTTTCCATCCCCCCGCCCCATTCTCCCGCTTTCCATCACCCCGCCCCATTCTCCCTCCTTCCATCACCCCGCCCCATTCTCCCTTTTTCCATCACCCCGCCCCATTCTCCCGCTTTCCATCACCCCGCCCCATTCTCCCGCTTTCCATCACCCCGCTTTATTCTCTCGCTTTCCATCACCCCGCCCCATTCTCCCTCTTTCCATCACCCCGTTCCATTCTCCCGCTTTCCATCACCCCGCACCATTCTCCCGCTTTCCATCACCCCGCCCCATTCTCCCGCTTTCCATCACCCCGCTTTATTCTCCCGCTTTCCATCACCCCGCCCCATTCTCCCTCTTTCCATCACCCCGTTCCATTCTCCCGCTTTCCATCACCCCGCCCCATTCTCCCGCTTTCCATCACCCCGCCCCATTCCCCCTCTTTCCATCACCCCGCCCCATTCTCCCGCTTTCCATCACCCCACCCCATTCCCCCTCTTTCCATCACCCCGCACCATTCTCCCGCTTTCCATAACCCCGCCCCATTCTCCCGCTTCCCATCACCCCGCCCCATTCTCCCGCTTTCCATCACCCCGCCCCATTCTCCCTCTTCCCATCACTCCGCTCCATTCTCCCGCTTTCCATCACCCCGCCCCATTCTCCCTCTTTCCATCACCCCGCCCCATTCTCCCACTTTCCATCACCCCGCCCCATTCTCCCGCTTCCCATCACCCCGCCCCGTTCTCCCGCTTCCCATCACCCCGCCCCGTTCTCCCGCTTCCCATCACCCCGCCCCGTTCTCCCGCTTTCCATCACCCCGCCCCGTTCTCCCGCTTTCCATCACCCCGCCCCGTTCTCCCTCTTTCCATCACCCCGCCCCATTCTCCCGCTTTCCATCACCCCGCCCCATTCTCCCGTTTTCCATCACCACGCCCCATTCTCCCGCTTTCCATCACCTCGACCCGTTCTCCCGCTTCCCATCACCCCGCCCCGTTCTCCCGCTTTCCATCACCCCGCCCCGTTCTCCCGCTTTCCATCACCCCGCCCCGTTCTCCCTCTTTCCATCACCCCGCCCCATTCTCCCGCTTTCCATCACCCCGCCCCATTCTCCCGCTTTCCATCACCCCGCCCCATTCTCCCGCTTTCCATCACCTCGCCCCTTCTCCCTCTTTCCATCACCCCGCCCCATTCTCCCGCTTTCCATCACCCCGCCCCATTCTCCCGCTTTCCATCACCCCGCCCCATTCTCTCGCTTTCCATCACCCCGCCCCATTCTCCCGCTTTCCATCACCCCGCCCCATTCTCCCCCTTTCCATCACCCCGCCCCATTCTCCCGCTTTCCATCACCCCGCCCCATTCTCCCTCTTTCCATCACCCCGCCCAATCCTCCCGCTTTCCACCACCCCGCCCCATTCTCCCGCTTCCCATCACCCAGCTTCGTTCTCCCTCTTTCCATCACCCCGCCCCATTCTCCCGCTTTCCATCACCCCGCCCCATTCTCCCGCTTTCCGTCACCCCACCCCATTCTCCCGCTTTCCATCACCCCGCCCCATTCTCCCGCTCTCCATCACCACGCCCCATTCTCCCGCTTTCCATCCCCCCGCCCCATTCTCCCGCTTTCCATCACCCCGCCCCATTCTCCCTCCTTCCATCACCCCGCCCCATTCTCCCTTTTTCCATCACCCAGCCCCATTCTCCCGCTTTCCATCACCCCGCCCCATTCTCCCGCTTTCCATCACCCCGCTTTATTCTCCCGCTTTCCATCACCCCGCCCCATTCTCCCTCTTTCCATCACCCCGTTCCATTCTCCCGCTTTCCATCACCCCGCCCCATTCTCCCGCTTTCCATCACCCCGCCCCATTCCCCCTCTTTCCATCACCCAGCCCCATTCTCCCGCTTTCCATCACCCCGCCCCATTCCCCCTCTTTCCATCACCCCGCACCATTCTCCCGCTTTCCATAACCCCGCCCCATTCTCCCGCTTCCCATCACCCCGCCTCATTCTCCCGCTTTCCATCACCCCGCCCCATTCTCCCTCTTCCCATCACTCCGCTCCATTCTCCCGCTTTCCATCACCCCGCCTTAACCTCCCTCCTTCCATCACCCCGCCCCATTCTCCCTCTTTCCATCACCCCGCCCCATTCTCCCACTTTCCATCACCCCGCCCCGTTCTCCCGCTTCCCATCACCCCGCCCCGTTCTCCCGCTTTCCATCACCCCGCCCCATTCTTCCGCTTCCCATCACCCCGCCCCGTTCTCCCGCTTTCCATCACCCCGCCCCGTTCTCCCGCTTTCCATCACCCCGCCCCCTTCTCCCTCTTTCCATCACCCCGCCCCATTCTCCCGCTTTCCATCACCCCGCCCCATTCTCCCGTTTTCCATCACCACGCCCCATTCTCCCGCTTTCCATCACCTCGCCCCGTTCTCCCGCTTCCCATCACCCCGCCCCGTTCTCCCGCTTTCCATCACCCCGCCCCGTTCTCCCGCTTTCCATCACCCCGCCCCGTTCTCCCTCTTTCCATCACCCCGCCCCATTCTCCCGCTTTCCATCACCCCGCCCCATTCTCCCGCTTTCCATCACCCCGCCCCTTCTCCCTCTTTCCATCACCCCGCCCCATTTTCCCGCTTTCCATCACCCCGCCCCATTCTCCCGCTTTCCATCACCCCGCCCCATTCTCTCGCTTTCCATCACCCTGCCCCATTCTCCCGCTTTCCATCACCCCGCCCCATTCTCCCCCTTTCCATCACCCCGCCCCATTCTCCCGCTTTCCATCACCCCGCCCCATTCTCCCTCTTTCCATCACCCCGCCCAATCCTCCCGCTTTCCACCACCCCGCCCCATTTTCCCGCTTCCCATCACCCAGCCCCGTTCTCCCTCTTTCCATCACCCCGCCCCATTCTCCCGCTTTCCATCACCCCGCCCCATTCTCCCGCTTTCCGTCACCCCACCCCATTCTCCCGCTTTCCATCACCCCGCCCCATTCTCCCGCTCTCCATCACCCCGCCCCATTCTCCCGCTTTCCATCACCCCACCCCATTCTCCCGCTTTCCATCACCCCGCCCCATTCTCCCTCTTTCCATCACCCCGCCCCATTCTCCCGCTTTCCATCACCCCGCCCCATTCTCCCGCTTTCCATCACCCTGCCCCATTCTCCCGCTTTCCATCACCCCGCCCCAGTCTCCCTCATTCCATCACCCCGCCCCATTCTCCCACCCCGCCTTAACCTCCCTCCTTCCATCACCCCGCCCCATTCTCCCTTTTTCCATCACCCCGCCCCATTCTCCCACTTTCCATCACCCCGCCCCGTTCTCCCGCTTTCCATCACCCCGCCCCATTCTCCCTCTTTCCATCACCCCGCCCCATTCTCCCGCTTTCCATCACCCCGCCCCATTCTCCCGCTTTCCATCACCCCGCCCCTTCTCCCTCTTTCCATCACCCCGCCCCATTCTCCCGCTTTCCATCACCCCGCCCCATTCTCCCGCTTTCCATCACCCCGCCCCATTCTCTCGCTTTCCATCACCCCGCCCCATTCTCCCGCTTTCCATCACCCCGCCCCATTCTCCCTCTTTCCATCACCCCGCCCCATTCTCCTGCTTCCCATCACCCCGCCCCGTTCTCCCGCTTTTCATCACCCCGCCCCGTTCTCCCGCTTTCCATCACCCAGCCCCATTCTCCCTCTTTCCATCACCCCGCCCCATTCTCCCGCTTTCCATCACCCCGCCCCATTCTCCCGCTTTCCATCAGCCCGCCCCATTCTCCCACTTTCTAGCACCCCGCCCCATTCTCCATCTTTCCATCACTCCGGCCCATTCTCCCGCTTCCATCACCCCGCCCAATTCTCCCGCTTTGCATCACCCCGCCCCATTCTCCCTCTTTCCATCACCTCGCCCCATTCTCCCTCTTTCCATTGCCCCGCCCAATTCTCCCGCTTTCTATCACCCCGCCCCATTCTCACGCTTTCCATCACCCCGCCCCATTCTCCCTCTTTCCATCACCCTGCCCCATTCTCCCGCTTTCCATCACCCCGCCCCATTCTCCCGCTTCCCATCACCCCGCCCCATTCTCCCGCTTTCCATCACCTCGCCCCTTTCTCCCGCTTTCCATCGCCCCGCCCCATTCTCCCGCTTTCCATCACCCCGCCCCGTTCTCCCTCTTTCCATCACCCCGCCCCATTCTCCCGCTTTCCATCACCCCGCCCCATTCTCCCGCTTTCCATCACCCCGCCTCATTCTCTCGCTTTCCATCACCCCGCCCCATTCTCCCGCTTTCCATCACCCCGCCCCATTCTCCCCCTTTCCATCACCCCGCCCCATTCTCCCGCTTTCCATCACCCCGCCCCATTCTCCCGCTTTCCATCACCCCGCCCCATTCTTTCGCTTTCCATCACCCCACCCCATTCTCCCGCTTCCCATCACCCCGCCCCATTCTTTCGCTTTCCATCACCCCGCCCCATTCTCCCGCTTCCCATCACCCTGCCCCATTCTCCCGCTTTCCATCAAAGTGATGCGTTCGGTAGTCTGGTCCGTATGCGCACCTATAATGGGCATACTACGCATAGGTCAGGCGCTCAAATTTTGAGAACAACATGGAACGAAATGGAAACACTTGTTGTGGATGTGGAAAATAGTATAATCTAGTGGACTAGCGTAAAAGAAGAGGCATCCAATGCAGTGGACCAGTCAATGTGATGCGTTGGGTAGTCTGGTCAGTATGCGCACCTATAATGGGCGTACCACGTAGAATTCAGGCGCTCAAATTCTGAAAACCACATGGAACGAAATGGAAACACTTTTTGTGGATGCAAAAAATAGTGTAATCTAGTGGACTAGCGCAAAAGAAGAGGCATCCAATGCAGTGGACCAGTCAAAGTGATGCGTTGGGCAGTTTGGTCAGTATGCGCACCAATAATGGGCGTACCACGCAGAGTTCAGGCGCTCAAATTTTGAGAACCACATGGAACGAAATGAAAACAATAATTGTGGATGCGGAAAATAGTCTAATCTAGTGGACCAGCACAAAAGAAGAGGCATCCAATGCAGTGGACGAGTCAAAGTGATTCGTTGGGCAGTCTAATTAGTATGCGCACCTATAATGGGCGTACCAGGCAGAGTTCAGGCGCTCAAATTTTGAGAACCACATGGAACGAAGAGGGAAAAAATGTTGTGGATGTGGAAAATAGTCTAAACTAGTGGACTAGCACAAAAAAAGAGGCATCCAATGCAGTGGACTAGTCAAAGTGATGCGTTGGGCAGTCTGGTCAGTATGCGCACCTATTATGGGCGTATCAGGCAGAGTTGAGGAGCTCAAAATTTGAGAACCACATGGAACAAAATGGAACAAATTGTTGTGGATGTGGAAAATAGTCTAACCTAGTGGACTAGCACAAAAGAAGAGGCATACAATGCAGTGGACCAGTCTAAGTGATGCGTTGGGCAGTCTGGTCAGTATGCGCACAAATAATGGGCGTACCACGCATGGTTCAGACACTCAAATTTTGAGAACCACATGGAACGAAATGGAAACACTTGTTGTGGATGCGTAAAATAGTCAAATCTAGTGGACTAGTTCAAAAGAAGAGGCATCCAATGCAGTGGACCAGTCAAAGCGATGCGTTGGGCAGTCTGGTCAGTATGCGAACCTATAATGGGCGTACCACGCAAAGTTCAGGCGCTCAAATTTTGAGAACCACATGGAACGAGATGGAAACAATTGTTGTCGATGCAGAAAATATTTTAATCTAGTGGACTAGCACAAAAGAAGAGGCATCCAATGCAGTGGACCACTCAAAGTGATGCGTTGGGCAGTCTGGTCAGTATGCGCACCTATAATGGGCGTACCAGCAGAGTTCAGGCGCTCAAATTTTGGCAACCATATGGAACGAAGTGGAACAGATTGATGTGGATGTAGAAAATAGTTTAATCTAGTGGAATAGCACAAAAGAAGAGGCATCCAATGCAGTGAACCAGTCAAAGTGATGCGTTGGGCAGTCTGGTCTGCATGCGCACCTATTATGGGCATACCACGCAGAGTTCAGGCGCTCAAAGTTTGAGAACCACATGGAACGAAATGGAAACACTTGTTGTGGATGTGGAAAATAGTCTAATCTAGTGGACTAGCACAAAAGAAGAGGCATCCGATGCAGTGGACCAGTCAAAGTGATGCGTTGGGCAGTCTGGTCAGTATGCGCACCTATAATGGGCGTACCAGGCATAGTTCAGGAGCTCAAATTTTGAGAACCACATGGAACGAAATGAAAACACTTGTTGTGGATGTGGAAAATGGTCTAATCTAGTGGACTAGCACAAAACAAGAGGCATCCGATGCAGTGGACCAGTCAAAGTGATGCGTTGGGCAGTCTGGTCAGTATGCGCACCTATAATGGGCGTACCAGACATAGTTCAGGCGCTCAAATTTTGAGAACCACATGGAACGAAATGGAAACGCTTGTTGTGGATGTGGAAAATATTCCAATCTAGTGGACTAGCACAAATCAAGAGGCATCCGATGCAGTGGACCAGTCAAAGAGATGCGTTGGGCAGTCTGGTCAGTATGCGCACCTATAATGGGCGTACCACGCATAGTTCAGTCGCTCAAATTTCAAGAACCACATGGAACGAAATGGAAACACTTGTTGTGGATGTGGAAAATATTCCAATCTAGTGGGGCGGGGTGATGGTAAGCGGGAGAATGAGGCGGGGTGATGGAAAGCGGGAGAATGGGGCGGGGTGATAGAAAGCGGGAGAATGGGGCGGGGTGATGGAAAACGAGAGAATGGGGCGGGGTGCTGGAAAGCGGGAGAATGGGGCGGGGTGATGGAAAGCGGGAGAATAGGGCGGGGTGCTGTAAAGCGGGAGAATGGGGCGGGGTGATGGAAAGCGGGAGAATGGGGCGGGGTGATGGAAAGCGGGAGAATGGGGTCGGGGTGATGGAAAGCGGGAGTATGGGGCAGGGTTATGGAAAGAGGGAGAATGGGGCGGGGTGATGGAAAGCGGGAGAATGGGGCGGGGTGATGGAATGAGGGAGAATGGGGCGGGGTGATGGAATGCGGGAGAATGGGGCGGGGTGATGGAAAGCGGGAGAATGGGGCGGGGTGAAGGAAAGCGGGAGAACGGGGCGGGGTGATGGAATGAGGGAGAATGGGGCGGGGTAATGGAAAGTGGGAGAATGGGGCGGGGTTATGGAAAGAGGGAGAATGGAACGGGGTGATGGAAAGAGGGAGAATGGGGCGGGGTGATGGAAAGCGGGAGAATGGGGCGGGGTGATGGAAAGCGGGAGAATGGGGCGGGGTGATGGAAAGCGGGAGAATGGGGCGGGGTGATGGAAAGCGGGAGAATGGGGCGGGTGATGGAAAGCGGGAGAATGGGGCGGGGTGATGGAAAGAGGGAGAGGGGGGCGGGGTGATGGAAAGCGGGAGAATGGGGCGGGGTGATGGAAAGCGGGAGAATGCGGCGGGGTGCTGGAAAGCAGGAGAATGGGGTGGGGTGATGGAAAGCGGGTGAATGAGGCGGGGTGATGGAAAGCGGGAGAATGGGGCAGGGTGATGGAAAGCGGGAGAATGGGGCGGGGTGATGGAAAGAGGGAGAATGGGGCGGGGTGATGGAAAGAGGGAGAATGGGGCGGCTGATGGAAAGAGGGAGAATGGAGCGGGGTGATGGAAAGCGGGAGAATGGGGCGGGTTGATGGAAAGAGGGAGAATGGGGCGGGGTGATGGAAAGCGGGAGAATGGGGCGGGGTGATGGAATGAGGGAGAATGGGGCGGGGTGATGGAAAGCGGGAGAATGGGGCGGGGTGATGGAAAGCGGGAGAATGGGGCGGGGTTATGGAAAGAGAGAGAATGGAGCGGGGTGATGGAAAGAGGGAGAATGGGGCGGGGTGATGGAAAGCAAGAGAATGGGGCGGGGTGATGGAAAGCTAGAGAATGGGGCGGGGTGCTGGAAAGCGGGAGAATGGGGCGGGGTGATGGAAGGAGGGAGAATGGGGCGGGGTGATGGAAAGCGGGAGAATGGGGCGGGGTGATGGAAAGCGGGAGAATGGGGCGGGGTGATGGAAAGCGGGAGAATGGGGCGGGGTGATGGAAAGCGGGAGAAAGGGGCGGGGTGATGGAAGGAGGGAGAATGGGGCGGGGTGATGGAAAGCGGGAGAATGGGGCGGGGTGATGGAAGGCGGGAGAATGGGGCGGGGTGATGGAAAGCGGGAGAATGGGGCGGGGTGACGGAAAGCGGGAGAATGGGGCGGGGTGATGGAAAGCGGGAGAATGGGGCGGGGTGATGGAAATCGGGAGAATGGGGCGGGGTGATAGAAAGCGGGAGAATGGGGCGGGGTGATGGAAGAAGGGAGTATGGGGCGGGGAGATGGAAGGAGGGAGAATGGGGCGGGGTGATGGAAGGAGGGAGAATGGGGCGGGGTGATGGAAAGCGGGAGAATGGGGCGGGGTGATGGAAAGCGGGAGAATGGGGCGGGGTGATGGAAAGCGGAAGAATGGGGCGGGGTGATGGAAAGCGGGAGAAAGGGGCGGGGTGATGGAAAGCGGGAGAATGGGGCGGGGTGATGGAAAGCGGAAGAATGGGGCGGGGTGATGGAAACCGGGAGAATGGGGCGGGGTGATGGAAAGAGGGAGAATGGGGCGGGTGATGGAAAGCGGGAGAATGGGGCGGGGTGATGGAAAGCGGGAGAATGGGGCGGGGTGATGGAAAGCGGGAGAATGGGGCGGGGTGATGGAAAGCGGGAGAATGGGGCGGGGTGATGGAAAGCGGGAGAATGGGGCGGGGTTATGGAAAGAGGGAGAATGGGGCGGGGTGATGGAAAGAGGGAGAATGGGGCAGGGTGATGGAAAGAGGGAGAATTGGGCGGGGTGATGGAAAGCGGGAGAATGGGGCGGGGTGATGAAAAGAGGGAGAATGGGTCGGGGTGATGGAAAGAGGGAGAATGGGGCGGGGTGATGGAAAGAGGGAGAATGGGGCGGGGTGATGGAAAGCGGGAGAATGGGGCGGGGTGATGGAAAGCGGGAGAATGGGGCGGGGTGATGGAAATCGGGAGAATGGGGCGGGGTGATAGAAAGCGGGAGAATGGGGCGGGGTGATGGAAGAAGGGAGTATGGGGCGGGGAGATGGAAGGAGGGAGAATGGGGCGGGGTGATGGAAGGAGGGAGAATGGGGCGGGGTGATGGAAAGCGGGAGAATGGGGCGGGGTGATGGAAAGCGGGAGAATGGGGCGGGGTGATGGAAAGCGGAAGAATGGGGCGGGGTGATGGAAAGCGGGAGAAAGGGGCGGGGTGATGGAAAGCGGGAGAATGGGGCGGGGTGATGGAAAGCGGAAGAATGGGGCGGGGTGATGGAAACCGGGAGAATGGGGCGGGGTGATGGAAAGAGGGAGAATGGGGCGGGTGATGGAAAGCGGGAGAATGGGGCGGGGTGATGGAAAGCGGGAGAATGGGGCGGGGTGATGGAAAGCGGGAGAATGGGGCGGGGTGATGGAAAGCGGGAGAATGGGGCGGGGTGATGGAAAGCGGGAGAATGGGGCGGGGTTATGGAAAGAGGGAGAATGGGGCGGGGTGATGGAAAGAGGGAGAATGGGGCGGG